GAATCTTATTTTTCTGTCATTTATCTGCCTTTATGGGCTACATAAAGCGCGGTAAGCTGAACTGATGCAGTTCTGTTGCAAAGTTCTCTATCGAAACTCAGTCAGTTAAGGGAAGGTTAAGGTTAAAGGTGGTTGTTAATATTTCAGCTTTTTCTCTAGAGTATTATCATCTACTTGACATAAAATGTTTACTTTAATTCTGATTGAATTTTAAAAATTAAAACTGAAGAATCTTCTGTGACATAATAATAATAATACTAATAAAATCAAAAAAGAAAATATATGTTCATGCTGTTACAATAATTTTTTGAACTTGCTGCCTAGATGCTTTCCCTTTTTACTGGCTGATTATTGTACGATAGTGATGATGTATGCATGCGTGCATATTTTCACTCTGTTCGCATTCCCTTGATGCGCACATCAATCATTCCAACTGAAGTAAACTAACTTACTTTCAAAAGTAAAGTACCATTGTACACTTTTGGGGAATACATAAGTAGGAATGGTATAGTTACTACAGAGGAAATTTTCCGTTATGCATTATGTACTATTTTGCCATTTATGCATATTGATTTTTTCTTAACTACCATATACATGATCGGGAAACAGTTTTTGTAATCTGTAATCTATTTACTACAAGCACAATGGAAATAAGCAATTCATGGATATGTATTCATGATATGGTTTATTATTATTATTGTTTCCTTTAATTCCTAGAGGAACATAGGGCTTCAGCCACGCGTCTCCATTGCGTTCGGTTCTCTGCTAGAGTCTTCACCTGGCTCCAAGTCTGCCCACACGTTTTCATCTCCTCTTCACATGACCTCCTCCAACTCACCCTCACCCTTGCACTGACGACCAACTCACCGCTTCCCTTTCGGCCGGGTTCCACTCGAGCAATGGCTTGTTTAGTGATGTCACTTGATGGTTTGTTTTCTCAGAGTATGGCCAGCCAATCCATCTCCATTTCTTCCTGCCTATTTGTTTCACAATCGGTTTCTGCTGAGTTGGTTCGCTCATTGCCAGAGATCTCTGTTGCTGATCTTTTCTGGCCGGCCATCTGATCTTGAGTGAAGTATTGAGCGAAGACAACTGTTAATGAAGGTCTGTAGTTTATTTGAGATGCTCTTTATGACGCGCTGGCCAAGTCTCTGATCCGTATAGTAGCACTGACTGACTTCACATTGGAGTTGAAAATCCAGATCTTATTTTTGATGCTGAGTGCTGTTGACGGAATCTGACTGCCTGTAATCACTTTTTTTAGACAAATGTACATTAGGTAATGTTGATTTAATTTTGTTCCTTTGTCTTTTGAAAGTGGAATATAGGATTCGAAGCGTGATCTTTAAAGTTTCGCTGGTATTGGTGTTATTCTTTCTATACGGCCTCATTCCCAGTCTTTCCTCTTTGCTGAGCTTACTCACCACAGCTGAGTTGAGATTTAAGAGTGCGTCGAACGGTGGATCACGTGGAGTGTGACATGATGAACACTCTGCAAATGAGCCACTGACTTACACACCAGAAGGCTTGTAAGTCACCAGTGGTTCTTAGCAAGTTGACTTCTTTTATGTGATGATTTGTCGACTTAACTGACTGATTCAGACCATTTTCATATTGTAAAGTAACAGGATGAATTGTATTTGTCGGTGAGTTTCAATACAATAACACAATTAGTGTCAAATGGATGGTGATTAGTCATAATAAATTCATATAATGCACAGAAGGGGAATTAATCATTTGTGGAATATGTTTGATAAATCGTTCATACACACACACACACACACAGAATGCCATAAGAAAAATAATATAGTAAAACTACGGTGAATAATTCATGAAATAGTCAAATAATGTAAAATGGATGACAGGGAATCATACAATGAGTAATAATAAAAGCAGTAGGAGTACGTCATAATAATAGTCTGTTTGTAGAAGGAAAATCCGAGGAAATGTGTGAAAATTATTCCAGTGAAAAATAGTTTTCATGTTGGATCACTAACCGACTTCAATGAGAGGACCGTTAAAAATCATAGAGTATTAGGCATCCGTTTCTCCCCGGTTTAAGGCTGTTCGGCAGTACACTCCTAGGACCTTCGAATCCTTTCAAACCAACACCTGAGAATTAATCTCATGCTCTCTAGTGATTTACTGCAGGATGAAGTTGCTGATTCAGAGGAAAACAGGGTATCAGCCAATAAAATCCACAGCAATTAGTTTAAGCCAGTTACGTAGGAAGGTGTAGACTTGATGGTTGGGGTCCTCGGGACGGTAAAAACCAATGGCTGGAGATAATCGATGATGTGGGTCAAAATTGTTCCCAATGGCGCAGATGCATCGACTCCCTGTGGCTTATAATATCTAATAAAACTACGTTGTTCTTCCATATTACTATTCTGTTTGCCTCATATTTCTGTTTACTATCTCTGTTTCGAATCTCTTTTTACTTTCTTTTTCTCTTACTTTGTGTGCTGAGTGAAGTGTGGCGACTCGAACTGATGCATATCTGTGCAAAGTTCTATGTTGAAACCAGTCAGTCAGAAGTTGTCGGAAATTTTAGTGAGAAGTCGTGATTAGTGGGGTCCACCAAATTGGGTGTGATTGCAAATATTCGCTGGTGACAGTGACTGGTGGTTGTGCTATGTATCCTGAATCGGCTGTAGTTAGAATTAGTCGACAATTGGGTTCCGTCCTTGTGGATGGATGGTCAGTGGTTGACCTCGTAAATTGAAGCCTCTGGGTTCCACCCTTGGTAGACTCATGGTGCCTGCTGCTGAACGGTCTCAAACTAGGAGGGACCTGGTTTCCGGTTGTCCTCTCACTAATAGCAGTTTTTAATGTACCTTGAAGTGGAGTCATAAAAGTTACAGATTATTGTGGTTAAAACTGCTTGAAGAAAAAATAGGGAGAAAAGACCCAGAGGAAGAGAAACTTATTAATGAAAGGGTAGTATGCAATTGGAACAGTTAAGAGAGGACTAACTCCTGAATGGGCTCCTTGTGAATACACAGTTCTGATCTGTCTGTCTGGTCTGGATTCAACATAGAACTTGACACCGAAGTGCAGCAGTTCGAGTCGCCACGTTTCAGTTCTGATCTGTTGTCACTCTTTGAGCTATGCGAAGAATATATCGGCAAACTGTATGTCGTAAGGCTTTAGGTATCGGGCATGTCAGAATAAAAACTGTAGTGGAGTCTACTTGATGCCCTGCACCTACTAGTTGTGCTAGAATATAGTTTTTAATGAATAAGATTTTTTGAACCATTTGGGCAAGTGTTCTTGAACACGGGGACTCACCAGTCCAGTCGTACGCCAGGCATGAATTGATCCAAAGATGCAGGAATATACATGAATGTGAAGTGATCTATGATAAACTATCTGACATGAATCTGTATCTGATTACCAATTTAAGGATAACGTCCACTCCTTCATTTGTTGCAGTTCTAGAAGCGATAGTTATAAATCAATGAAACTAAGAGTTCCCTCCTTCATATTGTCTGTCACGGTCTCAGAACGAAGTTGTGCTGCCGTCTCTGTCGGAGTTTCTCAAATGCAATCAGACCTTACTTTCTCATATGGAAATGAGATCAGTAAATGTTTGCTTCAAAGTGGCACATCACTTTGCTACACAGATATTCGTTACCACTGAGAAAGACTTTTTTAATGTGTAGAAAATATAGCTCTTGCATAGTCAAGGTGTGTGCATTTAGTTTTTTTTCGGTCGGTCAGTCGGTCGGTTTTCGACATAGAACTTTGCACATATCTGCGGCTGTTCAAGTCGCCACACTCCATGTAGCACACAAAGCAAGAGAAGAAAGTAGGAGAAATGCATAATAATATAGACAGTAAACAGAGGTGTGAGACAAAGGAATAGTAATAACGAAGAACAAAACAGTTTCATTGGAAATCATAAGTCACAAGGAGTGGATGCATCAGTGCCATTGAGAACAATTTTGAGCCATGTTACCAATTGTTTCCAACCATTGGTTTTTACCGTCCCGAGGACCCCAACCAGTCAGGAAGTCTACATCTTCCTACGTGGCTTAGACTAACTGTCGTGGATTTCATTGACTGGTGCCATGTTTTCGTTTGACCGTCGCTAACTCTTTTCCAGCCTGACCCTATGTCAGCTAACATTGCCCATTGTCGAGGAAGGCGATGACTAGGCATACGTAACACATGTCCTAACCATCTCAGTCGATGTAATTTCACAGTCTCGTCGATTGATTCCCCCTCCTTACCTAGCACTCGACGCCTAACCTCAATATTTCTCACCTTATTATACCACTTCACACGGGAGATAGAACGCAGACACCTATGATCGAAGACAGCTAATCTTTTCATGACTTCCGCTCTCAATGGCCAGGTCTCACAGCCATAAAGGAGGACGGAGCGGACTGATGAGCAGTACACACGCCCTTTGGTCGATAGTTGGATATCGCATTTTGCCTTCTTGCTCTATGTGTAAGTTGTTTCAACCTGGAGCGATACGTTGTTATGGGAAATACTGTATGTATATATGATCGTAGTCAGCGGTTGACATGTTCATTGGATAAGTGTGTCTTGGTCACAACTGATAATCTTTTTTCTGTCCCTTTGCTTTCTGAGCGGAGTATAGGCATTGAAGCTTTTAAGTCTAGGAATGATGTGGTGTTGCTTTTTTATACGGGGCAGGGGTGTCATCTTCACGCCCAACTCTTCCTCTTTTCCGGACTTATTTACAGTTAGTAAACTAGGTAAGCTTCGTAAGTGTGTTGGCTGGAAATAAAACTCGGAGAAACCGCGTAACTGGCGAGCATTTTACCATTGAATCGCCGATACAACTCGCACTTAATACGATAGATAGTACAATTCTTCTTTAAGAAAATTTTGTAGTTGGTTTAACTGGTTGAGAATTTCTCATCATCACATTGAAAAATATCATTGTTTTCTAAGGTGTACAGTGTTGTTCTACACACAAGCAAATATATATTCTGCTTCATTGTGTTTCTTCTCTACCATTATAGATCTGATGTATGGGCTTTTGGTGTTGTTTTATGGGAACTTGCTACATATGGTCTTTCGCCTTATCCAGGAGTTGAACTGCATGATGTTTATCATCTTTTAGAAAAAGGCTACAGAATGGAACGACCACATGGATGTCCAGAAGCAGTCTATTCTATTATGTTAAGATGTAAGTGTTGTTTGATATATCAGTATCACCTCTTTTGTCAGTGTTATTGTTTTCTTGTCTTCGTCACCATCGATCAATTATCTTTTTTTTGGTAAAGTATCTGTATATTTATTTTTGTTCATTGTCTTTAGATTTGACATTATTTATTATTTAGAAGAAAATGAGTACTGCACTTTTGTGTAAAATAACCAGCTCAGTGATGGCTAGTGCCTGGATTTCCTTGAAACTGTAGTGAGTTTTCACCAGTTGGCTCCTCTTCACCATGTCAGCGTGAAGTCGATGCGCTATATCACGAGTTGATAAAGTTATAATTCATGGGCCGTTGAATTCCTATCTAAGTGGCTATGAAATAGTCAATGAGCATGGTCTGGCAACTTGAAGGTCTCACGTTCGATCCCTGGCGGGGTCATGGAGGCGCTCTGTTGAAGGGCCCTTAAATAGTACCAAATAACTGCCCAGTGCTCTCTTGTTTCTAATGATCTCTAATTGTTGTTAGTTTACAACGAAAATATAACAATACAAACTAATCCAAAATCCCGACAAATCCCATGATCTAAAATTTATTTGATAGTATGAATACTTTGATTGGATACTTTTTTTATATTCCTTTACTTTCCCACTGGGACATAGTGCTTTAAGCTACAGGCTTGAAGTTTCTGTAGAAGTGTATATTTTTCAGGATGGGGTTGCTAACCTCATGCCCAACCTTTCCTCTTTACTAGCTTTATTTCTGGCTTAGCGAGGTAAAGGAGCGCGTCGGCCGGGGATACAACCCCAGACCACCTGCGTGGTCGGCGAGCGTCCTAACCGCTATGCCACTGACGCGCTTGATTGAATACTAGGTTGTAAGTAATATCATGTGTCTGAATTCTATCATTCAAGTTTTCAGTGTAGCCACCAAGCTGGATGTCTTGCCATCATGGCGCACTTTGGATTTCACCTTAAATGTTTGGAGACAACTAACAGAAGGAAGCCTTGCCTCACCTGGATTTCATGCTTGTTGGCACTCACCAGTCAGTAGTAGGGCGTATCTACAATATTGAAGGAACTCATATCCTCTCTGAGATTCGAATTCGAGGGAAATGAATTCCTCCAAGTTATCAAGTATATCTCTTTGTCTACTGAGTGCCAGCAAGCATGAAATCCAGCTGAGGCAAGGCTTCATCCAGTTAATTGTCTTCAACTGTCTAAAAGAGCCGCTTTTGTGCGTTGGTGGCATAGCGGTTAGGATGCTCGCCGACCATGCACATGGTCCAGGGTTCGATCCCCGGCCGACACACTCATTCACCTCGCTAAGCCAGAAACAATGCTGGTGAACAGGAAAGGTTGGACATGAGGTTAGCAACCCCATCCTGTGAAATAAACACTGCTAAAGAAACTTCAAGCCACTAGCTTGAAGCCCTATGTTCCACTGGGAAACGTGAAGGAAGAAAAAAATATCTAAAAGAGCACAATTAGACCACATTGACTTTTTCTCTCCACCCCCTTCCCCAGGATTTATTATCATTATGAAGTAAATTACGTCCTAGTTACATCCTGCCTTCATAAAACGAGTTGCATACTTTTTTTATTTTGTCTTCTCTATTACCATTCAATACAGCTTCGGTGTAATTTTACATAGTTGAGGGTAAATGAATCAAGTGTACGTATATTCTGATCAAATAAAAATGGTTCGGTTGTTAAACTAGAGATTTTTTCCACTTACTTCACTTGTTTCGTCTGATCATCAGTTGACTTTTCATAAAATCTATTGATATTATTATTTATTTGATATTATATGTATTTGGTATTATATGTATGTAGAACCTGATGAAGAGAGCAGGTTATCGAAAATGATATTTTTTTGTTCAGTAACCATTCTTTTGAAAAACTTTAATGGGCATTTTTCTAATCAGTTAAAAGGCGATTACTTTTATTTATTCTGAAGAATAGAATAAAAGGAACATTTAAAAAAATGAATATATATGCTTACCTTTTTATAAAGGTCTTGTAAAAAGTTGTTTGCAAGCAGAATTTTTCATTACATTCATTTAATAAGTATGTACTTTGTAGCATCCTAAACCAAACCGCTGTGTGTATTAAATTCTGATACAAGTAGATACAAGTGCCATATTATTCCTTTATGCTTACATTCCTTCTGCAATATCGAGATTATCATAAGCATTCAAAAACCATAAAATGTATGAATGTGTTGATCCTGTTTTTTTGTTGTTGCCTCAAAAGTGTTCGTCTTTTAGAATGAGCCCGAATAGCTCATTGGTAACGTCTCTGACTGCAGCACTGGGTGACGCGGGTTCGAATCTTAGAAGGGACATAAGTTCCTTCAAGGTTGAAGATACGCCTTGCTGATGAGTGCCAACTAGCACGAAACCCAGGTCCAAGGCTTCCTGTGGCCGATTGTCTCCAACTATCTAATATCAAATGAATGTGCACCGTGATGGCGAGCTACCTAGAATGGTGGCCACATTGCAAATACATGACTGATAGAATTTAGTCTGCACCAAAGAAGGACTAGATACGTCACACTAGTTACTAGTGTCTAATCAAGAATGATTTTGTTTTTAGCACCGTTATATCTTAAAATAGGTAAAAAAAAATAATTTATTATACCATAATTCAAAATATGAGTGTTTTTTTCGATCTGAGATTTGAGGTTGAGAAATGTTTTTTTGAATCAAAGGAAATGCACTGTCTGTATTCCAAAGAGGAGAGTCAGTGACACATAGTGTTACTCAACGGTCTCCTCTGCATATATCCATCCAATGCATTCGACTACATCTTCTTCTGCGTACTTATTGGACTTCAGGTTCTTGGTTCGTTTGTTGCCAGAGTTGCTTGCTTGCTTGTTGTTAATCCTTTTTTACTAGCCAGCCAGCCATCTGATCTACAGTATGAGGGAGGAGCCATTGGAGGCAATGGTTGATTGATTGATTGATAAAAGTTTGTGGCAGCCTGTTTTGGAAATGCTCTTGCCGACGTGCTCGCCAAGTCTCTGACTCATACAACAGAAGAAATGGCGTGAGATTGGTGTTGAAAGTCCTTATGTTTGAGTGCAGTAGAGATTGCCACACAGATTTCAGTTTTGCTATATATTCTTATCCTGTCTTCAACATCATCTGTGCCACACCTGTAGGTTGACACGTATCAGCCTAGATAAGTGAAAGAAGTGACTTCTCTGAAATTTCTCCCTCTGATATCGATTAACTATTGTATTTTCGTGTCTTCCTATTTTGCTTGCGACACAGATTGCACTTTTTTATGAAAGAGAGTTATAAACTAACTAACTTACGGAATTAACAGTAATTAACTGGAACCACCACTTAAGTAGGACAAGAAGTGTAATTACAGATTAACATCGAAGTGTGTAATATACAGTCAACATATTGAATTCAGTTGGGTTACAGTTTTACAGGTGTGTGTGTGTAGGTATTTATACGAATGTTAGTAGTGTGTTAGTCATTGTTCTGTGCATAAAAATTAACCAATAATAGGCTTATAATGATAAAGCTTTTAGTTATCACAAAGATGTAAACATATTTGTTCAGAAATCGATTCAGCCTATAGATATATGACTCATTGATTGATTCGCATTCGCCTGTTTCGTATCCATTGTAGCAACTATATGTTTATCACTCTACAACATTTTTCAGACATTGTAACGTGTACTGTTTTATTTGTTAGCTATTTTTGGAGGGTCAATTATCCTGAAGTTGTTGTTTCATCTTTAAGTCCATATGTAAAATTCTAGATCTAGCTTACTCTCCACCTAAAAACTCATGTGCTTTTTTTTCCCTACATTTTCCCCACTCTTCTGCCGGACTATATATCCAAACAACACAAGTGATTCTTAGATTAAGGAGGCATTTGTCAGCAAACAGATCTTTTTTTTGCGTAACTTCACTTCAAAGCCGTACAGTTATTTAGCGAGTTTTTAAATGTTACACTGTCGATTGACAAAATAGGTCAGAGTTCGGTGTGGTGTTTTCAAAAGGAGAACTCAGAATAGTCAACAGGGCGATCCCGGAGTAGATTATTACATCTGATCATGCAGCGTCAGCAGAGTTTATATGTATATGTATAAAGCACAACTAAGTTGTTCGAACAGATTTCGTCTACATCTTCTTCATGAAGCTGTTGCCTTAACGACCCTTTATTGAGAGAGGAGCATCAACTTTATTTTCAGAAACGTTTTATCCAGTCTCTTTTCATATCCATTGGCCTTAGCATCAGTTTTTGTTTCCTTGAAAAGATATATAATAAACTCCATGTAATCCATTTTTATTTTGTTTTATTTAACCATTTTCAATCTTTTGTTGTCTTGTTTCTAAATGATTGTTCATCACTTTAGGTAATCAACTGTCAACCTCCTATAATGTTTTTTCTTCAAATATTGTTATTAATCGTACACTTTGATTTATTTTGTTACTTAAACTCCCTAAATAACCGCACAGCTTTTAAGTTGGAGTTACAGACTTGCTGACTTCTGTGTTGATAGTTCTTGGACTTTCATTTGAACATATTAAAAAAAAACAGCCTTTACCTTCAAATGGCTTTGTTATCTCACATGTGTGTGTGTATGCTTGCAGGCTATCTGTAAACTTGAATTTGAATAAAGCAAAAACAACAGTTTTTAGAGGATGAAATGGTACTATCATTGTCTATTTCATTGGCTTCTCATCATCTGCTTACAGCCCAAAGACATTATTAAGTTTATCTACAGAAACAATTTTAGGGTAGTTCATTTCCAAACAAAAAGTCAATCATTCAATCAGTATATGCATGCAATGCTAATAATAATAATAATCACTTTATCCCAAACAATAATAATCATACATAATGGAATCTTTTGGCGTTACGTAATCAGGTGAAAGAGAGGATGAAAACTTTCAGTTACCAGGGTAAGGAAAGACTGATAACCGCTTCTTTCTGAACGCATAAATCGGGTTTCAGGCGCTTGATGGAGATGGCTTCAGCAAATTTGAGGAGAGCTGAACTCCTCCGCCTATTGATAATTTTGAACGATCTTGTGACGTCCACCTCGTGACTTGTGTCAAGGAGATACCTGGCGATGGCACTGTTGAAAGCATTTGTCCCCTTTAGACATAGGCTTTTTGGCACATTTTCTTTCTGTTCTTCCAATATGACTGCTCCTACAGATACATGTAAATTTGTATATACAGTTGGAGTTAACATGTGAGAAGTATATCTCTCGACTTTTGATTGAACCAAAGAGCAAGTTGTTCGATAGACGGGAATATCAGCTTAACTGTAGGATAAGCTCTGATTAGCTACGTCCTCAATCTTCTGTTTGTCAATTAATGTAATATTTTCACCTTTGAAATCAAGTTGAATGAAGATGGACATTTTTCCCCACTGTGATTTGTTTAACATTTCAGCCTTCATATCTTCCGTACTTGTTAATGAATCTTTGAGGGTAACTGTTGCTTTGCAACATCTTTTTGAGGAACATAAATTCTTCCTCTAATTACTCTGTTAAGCATATTCTCTTAGCTCTAGAGTATACAGTCCTCGTTTGAAGCTATTCGAACAAAGACTATTGAAATATATGTGTTGTCCTTTCCATGTAGCCTTTTAGTAAATTGACTTATGGAGACTACTCTCTTCTAGGCGTTCATAAAGAAGCGATTATCAGTTGGATGCTTTCATACTCTTTTGAATCTGATTACGAAACACCGAAAGATTCCATTGTGTATGATTATTACTGTCTGGGATAAAGTGATAATTAATATCATTAGCATTGTATACAAATTTGCAATTAATAGTGTTCTCTGAGCTGGTTGGTTTAATTGCGGAGCTTTCGCCGTCATTCTGGACAACATCTCCCTTCAGCGCAATTTTTAGCACATGGTGAACTGATTCAAGTTTTCCATGAGTGATAGAACTGCGTCTCCCGGTAACCATCTTTACATATGTATTGATGATTTTTTATTGACTTGGATTTTCATTTAACATTTCAGCCTTCAGATGATGGTACCATTTTTAATTCTGCAAAAACCATTGTTCTTCCTTGATTCAATCAAATTTATAAAGGGGAGTAAATGTATGAATTAATCCTACATTGTTGTTATTTTGAGACTGTGTTGTATATATATATATGTATATATATATATATATATTCTACTTTAAAATTTATACTAATCAATTTTATCTTCTATATGTCATCTAGGCTGGGCTTGGGATCCAAATTTACGACCATCATTCAGTGAAATACACGCGGAACTTGAACAGATGTATGCAACTATGAATATTGAAGCAGGTAAGTGGGGTTAGTATATCCTCTATTGAAATCAATTCGTAGTCTTCATCATAGTACATGTAGTTTGCCAGTTTTTGCCTATAACGCCACCGTTTACATATAAACTGAAATGGTAGAAGACAACGACTTGGTAATGGAATGTTTATTTCGAAATTGGTATCTCTATATATATAGCCAAATTATGTATACCTTATCTTCAACGCACCTTTTATACAGACATATGTGTTGTGTGGTACTTCTGGACTTAATGTTGTGTTTCTGTGTATTCCCTTCACGTCTCCAATGTATCTCCACGACGGTGTATCATTTACCTTCTCTGACATCAAATGTATCTCCCTGCTATTTGGTGTTTTTATGTCGATGAACGTCTCTTTATATATTTCTGATAAATCTTACCAGTAGCACTTGCCACAGCACTATCTTGTCTTGGATGTTAATGAAGAGGAATTTAGAGACACTTAGTCACTATAAATGTTATATTATAAGGTCTTGTTAGGGTCATTGATTCTGTAATCGATACAATATGGAAGCAAAGTCCTACTCTGAGTTGTATTCATCATTTAAATAAGACATGTATGTGATTACTGACTTCTTATGTAATCACCTCATTTATTCACTAAAGTGTAAAGAATTTATCTTATACTTCACAATCTAGAGCTACTGGCACTGATTTTTTCCAGTATCCTTTTGAGAGAACTGTTAAACCTTAAGTTTTATCCTCTTGTTTAAGCTTAGCTACTTGAGGTAAATCTTTCTATGTCCCAGTGCTGATGATACTGCAGTGGCAAAAGATAAGAGAACTGGGAATGGAAAGACATATCACATTTAAACATTTTTAAGCATATTAAAAATCGACAAGGTCAACCGGTGATAAACTGTTCTGATTGGTTGGCAATTGGCTCAATGTTAAACCATGGAACAAAACATCCAATGAGGTTATTTCATGTCTACATTATTATTATTGTTATTATTATTATTGTTCCCTTAGGTTCCTAGTGGAACGTAGGGCTTCAACTACACGTCTCCACTTGCTTCTGTCTTCTGCTGTACTTTTCACCTGCATCCATGTTAGTCCATGCTGTTTCAATTCCTCTTCACACGATCTCCTCCTTGTCACCCTCATTAGACGTCCCACTCGCCACTTCCCTTTCGGGTTCCACTCGAGCTATGGCCTGACGCGTGATGTCACCCATTGGCTTCCTCAGCGAATGTCCAATCCATCTCCACTTTCTCCTGCATATTTGTTGGGCGATTGGTTCTTGTTTTGTTTGTTCCCATAGTTTCTTGTTGGTGATTCTTTCCGGCCATCTGATCTTCAGTATAGAGCGAAGACAGTTAGTTGTTGATATAGGTCTGCAACAGGCTGTTGGAAGTATTCTTTGTGACCTACCGCCAAGTTTCTGATCCGTATAGAAGAACTGACTTGACGTTTGTGTTGAAAATCCGAATCACTTTGTTGTTGATGCTGAGTGAGTGACGAAGATTTCCAGATTGGTTTCAGGTTGATGAATGTGTTTCTCGCCTTCCCGATTCTCGCTCGATTTGACATCCTCGTCCGTTCCTACTGTAGATAAGTGAATGAAGTAACCTCTTTCAAATCCCTCCCGTTGATGGTGATTGGCGCTGGATGTTGCTGCTGTTGTTGTTGTTGGTTGGTTATTTTCATAACCTCCGTCTTGTCTATGTTCACCTGGAGTCCTGTCTTCACTGCCTGCTTCTTCGACCAGTTTGTCGGTTTTCGCTTGTAAGTCTTCGATTTTGTGTGACATCAAACATAAATCATCCACTCGCGAAATCCAGGTCTTCTAGGTTCTTCGCGTCGGTCCAGGATATCCCTGTCTTCTCGTTTTCCACTGTCTGACGCATAATCCAGTCCAGTCCACCACAATTAGGAATATCATTGGTGATAATAAGCACCCTTATCTGACTCCTGTGTTTACTGCAAACGCCTCGCTGAGTTTTCCGTTGTGGATCACTTGACATGTGCGGTTGTCGTACAGCTGTTGAATAAGGTTGATGAATATTTGGGGTACGCCATAGTACTCGAGTAGTTTCCAAATTACTTCGCGATCAACGCTGTCGAAGGCCTTCCCAAAGTCTCTAAAGTTGAGGTAGAGATTTGATTGCCATTCCATGCTTTGTTCGATGATAATGCGTAGAGTTGCAATTTGGTCAGATCATGATTTGCCTTTCCTGAATCCAGCTTGTTCTGGTCGGAGTTCTGTATCCAGTGCATCCTTTATTCTCTCCAGGATGATGCGACTCAGGATTTTACTTGGCGTCGACAGGAGCATGATTCCTCGCCAGTTCTCGCAATGTCCTAGATCGCCCTTTTTTGGTAGTTTCACTAGGTAACCTTTCCTCCAGTCAGTAGGCACCTTTCCCTCTTTCCAGATCTTTTGCAATAATGGAGTCAGCATATCTGCCGTCGTTTTTGGGTCCGCTTTTAGTGCTTCCGGGGGTATTCCATCTGGTCCAGCTGCTTTTCCAGCTTTCAGAAACTTGATTGCATTCAAGACTTCAGCTTTCGTTGGAGGATTGGTGTCAACTTGCAGTTGTGTACGTGCTATTGTTGGTATTACTGGACGGGTTGTAGGTGGTGGTCGGTTCAAGAGTCCTTTGAAGTGGTCCGCCCATTGTTTAATCTGTCTTTCTTCCTTGGTAATTGGGTTCCCTTGGCTGTCTTTTATAGGTTTCACTTGTGTTGATCTCTTCCCGGATAGAGACTTGGTTATCTGATATAGTGTCCTCAGGTCCCTTTTGCCTGCTGCCTTCTCAGCTTCAGTAGCCAGGTTGTCGTAGAATTGTCTTTTGTCCTTCCTGGCACACTTCTTCACTTCTTTGTCCAGTGCTGTGTAAGTGGAGCTCAGCGTCTCTTTCTCTTGTCCATCTTTGCATTGAATCATTTTCTCTTTCACCATTACCCTCTCCTCTATAAGCTTCCAAGTGTCCATTGAGAGCAATTCCTTGTCTTGTTTCTTCTTTCTTCCTAAAACCGTTGAACACGTTTCGTGGAAAATTACCTTCAGAGAGTTCCAATGGTCTTCCACAGATGACTCCTCAGTGGTGCCACGTAGTGTTTCCTGCTTTGCTCTGACAGTTGCAGTGAAAATATCCTGTGTGATTGTGTCCTTCAGTTTTTGCGTGTTGAACTTACACTGTGGCCTATCCCCAGGTATCCTCGAGGCTTTTAGCTTCAGCTTGAAAGTCCCTTGTACCAGATAGTGGTCTGAACCCACATCTGCTCCTCTCCTCGATCTTGTGTCCAGTAGGCTCCGTCTCCACTTCCTTGAGATTGAAATGAAGTCTATCTGGTTTTTGGTGTGTCCATCTGGTGAAATCCATGTTGCCTTGTGTATATCCCTGTGTTTGAACACACTGCCACCAATCACCAAATCCTTGAAGGCGCAGAAGTCTGAGAAGAGTTCACCATTTTCGTTCATTTCACCGAGGGCCTCACGACCCATGGTGAGTTCTCTTCCTGTATTGTCTCCTCCCAGTTTCGCATTCATGTCGCCCATCAGGATTTTGATATCGCTCTTTGGGACGTTGTCCATTACTGTTTGTAGTTGACTGTAGAAATCCTCCTTCTGTTGTTCTGAGACGTTTGTAGGCGCGTAGCACTGAATGATTGTAACCTTTTTTCCTTTTGAGTTGAACCTAGCTGTCATTATCCTGAAGGAGATTGGTTCCCACTGCATGAGAGCTTTGGCTGCTGTTGGTGACATCATGATGGCTACTCCCTCGGTGTGCTCGTGGTTGTCCTCTGGGTGACCGCAATAGATTACTGTCTCTCCATTTGGTAGTCGGCACCTTTCACATCCGTTCCATCTGCTCTCACAGATTCCCAACACTTCTATTCCATACCTTCTCATTTCTGCGGCTACCTGGGCAGCCTTTTCAGCTTCGTACATTGTACGAACATTCCACGTCCCCATCCTTATTTTTACTTTTATCGAAAGAAGGCACATCGGCTGACTGGCTTCCCGAAGGCTTTCTTCAGCCTGCGTCATTTCACTTCCCTGATTCCGGCGAAAAATTAGGCTGTTGTTGATATTTTTAGTATTTTTGATATATTTATGCGTTGAAGTTTCTGTAGCAATTTGGTTAAGTTTTGGGGGTGGAGTTGCTAGCACCACGCCCCAACCCTCGCTCTTTATCCGGGCTTGGGACCGGCTAGAAAACTGGCGGGCTAGTAATCTAGGCTAGGTTTCATGTCTACATGGTAAACTAAATCCAAGTTTGAGGAATAAACACATCTACCTCTGCAGCCATTGACTTAAAGTGTTTTTTAACTGCTTCCTTATCAATCTGCATCTATGTAGCACACGTCACAATACTACCTAGTCACCTATGCTGAAGTATTGTGAAGCAAGACTTAAACGCGTAACCTATCGTCTAAAGACCCGCTACCCAAGCTAATTATATATATATATATATATATATATATATATATATATATATATATATATAGTGTCGGTGGCATATCGGTAGAATGCTCGCTGACCACGCATGTGGTCTGGGGTTCGATTCCCGCTCGACACACTCACTTAACTAGCTAATCTAGTTATAAGACTGGTAAAGAGGGAAGGTTGGGGATGAAACTAGCAACTCCGTCCCGTAAAAGTAACCACCACTGCTACTGAAACTTCAAAGCTCTAGCTTGAAGCCCTATGTTCCACTGGGGACGTGAAGGAATTAAAAAAATATCAGGAGATATCACCTCAATCACCAGTGTCTACAGTATTTGAGTATGTATATTTTATATACCAATATTAAATTGATCATGGTGGTTGTAGAGTCAACTGACAAGAACCAACATGTTATTGATGACTTACTTCATTTTTATCCTGGACAATATCATCCTTTTTGCTTTGTATAAGTTTAGTCAAAAGAAATAACTGTATACACTTTTACAAGTGTAGATAAAAATTGATTGGAATATCAATTAATTACAACGCGGAAAATTATCCTATGTATAAATTTTTATTTCTCTAGTGCATTGGGCGTCTTACAAGTTACTGTATTATGGGAAACAGTATCATCGTATACCTATAAGTATGTGTTTGCGTAGTGTAGTGTGGTGTGCGTGTGTATGTGTATGTGTGTTTAATAATATACCATCGTTAATGGTGTCACCTTATTTCATTTCTATAAATTTACGATATATTTTATATGCACATTTTTACTAAATCAGCATACATATATTTATTTATCCTATAACATTTTCTTACTCATTATGGATCATTGAATCATTCGCGTAAGTAACTTCACATATTTAGCTCTCCTGTGTATGTATGTATAACTCCAGAGGGTGTCAAGTATATTCTTCGTTTTTCATATCGTATCTACTATCTTATTTTCTTTTGTTTTTGTTTATCCTTTTTCCTCTCATTTGGTTTATTTTCAAATTTATAACTTAATAATTTAACCAAAATTATGAAGGCTTCTATTCTAACTACCGACTGTAAATATATATATATATTTATAATATATCTAATTTTGGCAATCGAATTTAGTATTTGTTCACACTTGAGTGTATTATCTAACACACAGTTATAAGATTCATTGCGGTGGTATGGTCTAATAATTAATCTTATGATATCTGATTGACCTCATTTCGAGAGTAAACTTTTCAATTTATCCATATAGTTCCACAGTTGTATTCAAAGTATATGTGAATTAGCCCACGTTTGAAATCGTTTTTTCATAATTCCACTTCCCAGTTATCTCCCCCCCCATGACATTGAAAGCATAGTTATCATGTGTTGATTTGATTGGTTACATGTTTCATCGCCAACCGATATCTTTTAGAGAGGGAACTATTGGAAAGCCAGCAGGGAGTGTGGTGTGCAGTGGGAAACGAGAAGACAGCGATATCCTGGACCGACGTGAAGAACCTAGAAGGCCTGGATTTCGCGCGTGGGTGATTTATGTTTGATATCACACAAAATCGAAGACTTACAAGCGAAAACCGACAAACTGGTCGAAGAAGCAGGCAGTGAAGACAGGACTCCAGGTGAACATAGACAAGACGGAGGTTATGAAAATAACCAACCAACAACAACAACAGCAGCAACATCCAGCGCCAATCACCATCAACGGGAGGGATTTGAAAGAGGTTACTTCATTCACTTATCTACAGTAGGAACGGACGAGGATGTCAAATCGAGCGAGAATCGGGAAGGCGAGAAACACATTCATCAACCTGAAACCAATCTGGAAATCTTCGTCACTCACTCAGCATCAACAACAAAGTGATTCGGATTTTCAACACAAACGTCAAGTCAGTTCTTCTATACGGATCAGAAACTTGGCGGTAGGTCACAAAGAATACTTCCAACAGCCTGTTGCAGACCTATATCAACAACTAACTGTCTTCGCTCTATACTGAAGATCAGATGGCCGGAAAGAATCACCAACAAGAAACTATGGGAACAAACAAAACAAGAACCAATCGCCCAACAAATATGCAGGAGAAAGTGGAGATGGATTGGAAACTCGCTGAAGAGGCCGCTGGGTGACATCGCGTGTCAGGCCAGTGCTCGAGTGGAACCCGATAGGGAAGCGGCGAGTGGGACGTCTAATGAGGGTGACAAGGAGGAGATCGTGTGAAGAGGAATTGAAACAGCATGGACTAACATGGATGCAGGTGAAGAGTACAGCAGAAGACAGAAGCAAGCGGAGACGTGTATTTGAAGCCCTATTTTCCACTAGGAACCCAAGGGAAAACTAATAATAATAGTGACAATACTCTAGCAGTTGACAAATATACATTTGATCTAGCAGTCCTTATGTCATTTAAAAGAAAATGTATATGACTGTTGATCACCTTGGCAACTAGATAACTTGTCCGATATTTTACTATGTTGGTTTTTTATGCTTCTGTTTTTCGTGTCACCTAATGCACTTCATCTTCATCTTATTGTTTCTATATATTCTAATAGAAGTTGCTATGGAATTAGAGAAACAACAAACTGGTAATTTTATACCACAAGCACCACCACCACCACAGCAACATCAACAACAACATCAACAATCTACTGGTTCACATAGATTTACAGATATTCATCAATCACATGATTTTCAAGGGAATTCAATCAATCAACAAATGATAAATGTTGGTGGTGGTTTTAAAGAATCATCATTCGCAGAAAATATGACCTCTGATCAGCATCAACATCAGCAACATCCTCATCATTCTCAGATGTTATTCAAACAGATGAATTCTATTCCGCCTAGTTGTAATTTTGAACAGAATTGTCAAAATCCTGGTGTTATATCATCATCCTCGTATGTTACAATGAATACAACTGGATATCCTATTAATCAGCATCATCATAATAATAATATTGATAATATTACTTCATCAAGTAATTGTATAAAACAAGATAAAGTGATATTTATCGATCAAAATCGTTTGTCCAATAAAGAGAAAACTCAAGGTGCGCCTTCTTCATCATCCTCTGCTGCTGCTGCTGTTGCTAGCGGTGGGGGAGTTGATCATTTCAATAGTCATATCACTGATGCACTAGCAATGGTTTCACTTGATGATAATGAAGAGAAGAATAAGAAACGTTTTCTAAATCATGATATTCATCCAATTCAGTGTGAAAATAATTCTGATTTAAATTCAAGTAAGTTGGTGATGATTGTCTGTTTGTCTCTGTTGTTTTCCTTTTTTTGTTCATTGTTAGTGTGAGTGTATCCAGTTGTCTAGCTATGAAATCTTATTGCAATTTTCCCTTGTTGATTTGTCTATTGTGTTAAACAACTGGTAGTTTTCTGTAATTATGAAAAATACTTGTTATCGTGTTATAGAAGAATAAGGGATTGTTTCTATGTTTTGAGAGTATATATCAATTATTGGAGGATCTGGACTTCGCCGATGATGACATATGTCTGATTTCCCACAAACTAGAAGATATGCAAGCGAAAAGCAACAAGTTGGCGATAGAAGAAGCATCAAAGATAAGACTTCAGGTGAACATAGAGAAAACAGAGGTGATAAAGATTCCTGGCCAACACCACCAACAACAACAGACAACAATCAGCCAGGATAAATGGAAGGAACCTGAAAAAAACAACCTCTTTTACCTACCTAATTGGGAAGCATCGTTTCAACTACAGGCAGACGGAACTGACGAGGATATAAAAGCAAGAATCGGAAAAGCAAAACAAGCTTTCACTACTCTCAAGTCTGTGTGGAGGTCAACAGCACTCAGCATGAAAATGAGAATAAGATCCGGATTTCCAACTCCAATGTGAAGTCAGTCAGTGCTACTCACTATATGGATCAGAGACTTGCACTTCGCGTCATAAAGAGCATCTCAAACAAACTACAGACCTTCATTAACAGTTGTCTTCGCTCAGTACTCATGATCAGATCGCCGGCCGGAAACGATCAGCAGCAGAGATCTCTGGCAATGAGCGAACCAACACAGTAGGAACCGATTGTGAAACGAATATGCAGGAAGAAATCGAGATGGATTGGCTGACCATACTCTGAGGAAACAATCCATAGAGTGACATCACTAGACAAGCCATTGCTCGAGTGGAACCCGAAAGGGAAGCAGCGAGTTGGTCGCCAGTGCAAGGTTGAGTTGGAGGAGGTCATGTGAAGAGGAGATGAAAACTTGTGGGCAGACTTGGAGCCAGGTGAAGACTCTAGCAGAGAACCGAACTCAATGGAGACGCACGGCTGAAGGCCTATGTTCCTCTAGGAATTAAAGGAAACAATTATAATAATAATATGTCTATTATTATTGTTAAAACACAAACTTGTTAGATTGTGGGCACCAACAGATAGATGAGCCATACAAAATCTTATAGTTTATGTGAGGGCTGAAATACTTTTAGGAAGCCCGGATTAAAGCGAAAATGGTTATTTTACGGAGCCAATCCCTTGCAAGTCTTTCATTTGAAGTTTGATCCACAAGGCAGTGGAGCTAATTTTCCATATTTTTTTTGATAACCAGAACAGGTTCATACACCCATTCTATCCATTCGTATTCTGGAGCCCATGTGATCAGGGTTTTCCGCCTCCGCTGTGTATACAGACTAGCTTCTCCACTAGTGCAGTTATAAAGACTACATGTTCGTATTTTCCCATTTTCACATTTGTGAGGTACTCCCCCATCTGTATATAGACAATGGGACTTACATAGTAGCAGCTATTGACGCATGACCATATGTGAGAGCATTTCGAGAAGGAAAACCGAAGTTTACCCACCGTTGATGGTACCAGGTCGTTTATGGGATATATATATATATATATATATATATATATATATATATATAATTTCTTCCTTTAATTCCTAGAGGAACATAGGGCTTCAGCCGTGCGTCTCCATTGCGTTCGGTTCTCTGCTAGAGTCTTCACCTGGCTCCATGTCTGCTCATCAGTTCGCTCCGTCCTTCTCTACGGCGATGAGACGTGGCCATTGAGAGCGGAAGACATGAAGAGATTGTCTGTTTTTGACCACAGATGTTTACGATCTCTTTCTCACGTTAGGTGGTATAATAAGGTAAGTAATGTTGACATTAGACGTAGAGTGTTGGGCAAAGAGGGAAAATCACTCGAAGAGGCTATGAAGTTGCATAGACTGAGATGGTTAGGCCACGTGCTGCGCATGCCTAACCATCGTCTCCCCCGACGGGCATTAATAGCTGATATAGGTGCAGGCTGGAAAAGAGTAAGCGGTGGCCAAACAAAAACATGGCATCAATCCATGAAATCCCTGACAGTTAAACTGGGTCAGGTAGGGAGATGCAGACTTCCGGGTTGGGGCCCTCGGGACTCTAAGAATCAATGGCTGGAGACACTAGGTGACATGGCTCAAAATCGTTGTCAATGGCTTACGCAGATGTATTCAGTCTCTTTAACCTTCATATTCCTTTCTACCATTACTCATTCTGTTTCACTCTTATACTTGTCAAAACTCTATTGATTCTCTTCTCTCCTTTTCCCGTCTACCTTTGTGCGCTATTTGGAATGTGGCAACTCGAACTGCTGCACTTCGGTGACAAGTTCTATGTTGAATCCAGACAGACAGACAGACCATGTCTGCCCACAAGTTTTCATCTCCTCCTCACATGACCTCCTCCAACTCACCCACCCTTGCACTGACGACCAACTCGCCGCTTCCCTTTCGGGTTCCACTCGAGCAATGGCTTGTCTAGTGATGTCACTTGATGGATTGTTTTCTCAGAGTATGGCCAGCCAATCCATCTCCATTTCTTCCTGACTATTTGTTTCACAATCTGTATATATATATATATATATATATATATATATATATATATATACAGCTTTGTTATTATGCATGTATATATAATGACTAAACATGTGTTAGTTGTTCACTGATGGCTTTACTGTAACACATGTAGACTTCAAAAATATGCTTACTTGTCATTTACCCGGTCGTTGTATATTATTGGTGTGTTATATCAACAATATTTCATCTGTTTTCTCATTCATCTTTCTTTTTTAAACATGTTTTTTAATTGTAAACTGGCGGAACTTTTATAACTATCCATACTGTTGATGATAATTCTGTCAGTGTGTGTTTTATGTATATCACCTGTGTACTTAACAACAAAAAAAAAACAACAACTTGTTTTTAGGTTATATGACACACTTTGTTTTAACTAGGCACTTATTTTATGAAACGACGAAAATGCTTTATTTATAACAGCTGGAAAGAAAACTCTAGTTACATTTTGTGATAGATTATCTGTGACAGAAGTTAACTATCTGTCTACTTCAAGAGACTTGTCTTCCTGTAATATGCCTCGTGATATGCCTAAGTATATAAAATAGTATCTTGAATTTGGTCAACCATTTGAGTCATAGTAATTCCGATGACTCTGTTCTATAATCCATGTAATCCCTTTACTTTTAGGCAGGTCAGATTCAAATGATTCTTTAATCTTGAACAAAGCAAGAACAACAATTGTACCAGGATAATATGAGCTCATCTTTTATTATTTTGAGGATTCTTCTCAACTGGTTACAAACTGAACGATGAAAAATATGAATTACATTACATTAAAGATTTGAACATACTTTTCCACGATCACAAGGAGTAATTGGTAGGATGTAAAAGTAACATTAGTCCGGAATGATTTAACTAATTAAGAGTTACAAACACTGACTATTTATAGAATAATTCAAATGAACTGTGATCAATATTTGACAGTTTATAAATATTTATAGAATAATTAGACAATTAGGCTTGGAAACAAAAACAAACTGTTGTATATTTTTTTTGTCACCAGGGTAGTGCAAGATTCACCACTGTCTCTTTCTGTGTACATAGATTTGGTTTAAGTCGTCTGATAGCAACTGCTTCAGCAAAGCGTAGCAAGTTAGGTTTCTTTTGCTTGTTGATTATTTTGAATGACTTCAAGTTGCCTACATTATGACCAGTGTCTAATAGATGACGTGCAATTGCACTGTTTAATACTTGTGGACCTTTCAGCTGGATGTAGTCAGCAATTCTGAGACTTCTGTGTAGTAATCCTTAATGAGATTGTTTTAGCACTTAATCTATTTTGCTTCAGTAATTTTGTTAAGTATTGTGGTTATTGTGGTGCTCGACTCTGCCACAGCCCAAAATGTTAGGAGAAAAAATTAGTGATAATCTGAAGTCTCAGTGAATGAATAGTATTCACTAGTTGTTAATGAAATCAAGGCATGCATTACAACAAAATATTACACACAAATAAGGTCAGGCAACTTGAAAATTGATACTGAAAACAGAAAGAATAGGTTACAGGATTTCATCATGAGCTGACATCAGTTAGCGAACCATTGGAAAACCTGGGAGTACTGGACAACTGTTTCGTCCTAGTTTGGGACTCTTCACCAGTACGCACCCACCGGGATTCGAGTCCAGGACCTTCTGGTTACAAGGCTAGCGAGCTCGTAGACCATTAAGCCACTGGGACCCGATCCGATGGCCAATGAATTCTAACTTCTGTCAATTCACGATATAGCGCAACCGCTAGCCAATGTCTTCCGCGAGTATTTGTTCTTGCACCCGACCTGCTGTACCCTACTGGTCACGACTTTTAAAGGTACTTGAGACCGATAATTATATGATATTTTATCGAAGTGAGACACCATCTCTTTTGTCAACCTATTTTAATAATAATAATGATAATTGCTTTAATTCCATTGTGCGGTAAAATTTATTTTGATAAAATCTCACAGTGTTGTAAAGTAATGTTTACTGATAACGTTTCGAGCACAATTTATTGCTGCTCATAATCACATCAAGGTACTCACACAACTTTCTAACTTCGTTTATATTATACCATTATTTTTCATCGCTTCACTTGGTTGCTAATAGTATTTTCCATGTTTCCGGTATGAGTGACAAGTCATTCCCATTACAGGTGTTGGGTTTGGACTCGATGAACAAAGATTCAGTAATCAACCTCTCTCTATCTCCACCTACCTATATTACTTCTTAGAATTTTAACCCTCTCCCACCCTATTGTGTGTTAATGTATGCAGTGCAATTGCTGAGCTTTTTTCTTCTAAATTTCTTATCTTCTCGGGGTCAACCATTCTAACCTTAGCTAAATTCTTATGTTCTGGTAATCTGACTACCCGCAACCTACTAGTTTG